TGGCTGCTTCCGCTAGCAATAGTCATCAACGCAGTGGCCGCAGCAAGGCTGTCGTATGCAGTTTGGTTCAGGGGAGTGGACACGCTGTTTTCCGAGACCTCAGCCCAATGCTCTATAAACTCGGCCAAGTAGCAATATGCGATTGCCGTAATCTCTCTCAGGTCTTCTGACGGGGGCCATATCTCATCCTTCCTATTCGCCTTTTTCACCGAGTCGGGTTTCTCTGGATGATGCGTCGCACTGACGTACGTCCAGTCGGCCATTGATCGCACGTAGCCATGGCTGGCTACGTGCGTGCCACTTTCGACTTGATTTTGATCCTTATAGCACAGGGTGGCATGTGGACCCTTCGGGTCCTTTTGATATTTGCCATGGATCTTTGTTGTGTTGTGAATGTCGGACCTGGATATTGTGGTCTAGTATCAGTGTTTTGTTCTTTGGAGGTATGTCCCTGGTGAATTTCCTGGGAACTGGTGACATGAGGGTCATCTATATCTTACCTGATGAGGATCTCCTTCGGAAACAGCTTTCTGTCTCTGGCCCAGGCCCGACTGATCCACGATCACACTCACTCCAGAACCTGGAGTCGACTCGACTGCCCTGGAGGCGATTGTAGAGAGCACATATCGAAGGCGATCATTTAGAGATCACGACCTACTTTAGGTTCTTCGCGAAGGACCACTACCAAGCTGTCTGATGGAAGCCCAATGTGACGTCTCGCTGTGCGGGCGCCTTTTCAACTTTGTGAGCCAAAGTGCTCTATCCCGCATCCCAAGTTCAAGGATTCAATGGGAGACAGTCTTTCTGTGGGCGCCGGCGCTGGCGATGGCGAAGGAGAGGTGGCGACAACTATCACCCCTTCAGCAGGTGCTGACTCCTCTCTTGCAGATTGTTGTTGTTGCACCTCTGGTGTCTGTTCTGGGGAAACCATCCCTTCTGTCGTGTTCGTTATGTGTGTTCGATCATCCTTCCTTTGTTGGCGTTCTTCGCGAAATCGTGGTTGGTCGAAGAGATCCAACGTCGGTAGGTCGAATTCGTAAATGTCTGTGGCGTTGCCCAGGGGGTCAACGTCGTTGGTAATGGGCAGATCCAGAGTGCTAAAGAGCTCCTGGGTTACTGCTGGTTCCGGGGACTGCGCATCTTTGTAGACCGTCGATTCGTCGAAGGTGACGTCTCGAGTGCGGAGCACTTTCTTTAACTGGGGCACCCAAATCCTGTAGATGTTGGTGCTGTCGTATCCGCAGAGGTAGCCAATGTGACTTCTCGGGTCTAGTTTCCTCCTTCCGTTGCTCCTTGTCAGCGCAGCAGTCGTCATCGGGTACGCCTTACAACCGTATCTGCGAAGATGAGAGATGGATGGCGTCTCTGCCGTCATGCCCGACTGCGTTGCGTTCTTCCAACTGTTGAACAAACCTAACGGGGTTTTCCAGCCATTCCTCTCTCTGGGAGTGAGGTTGTGGACATATGCAGAAGCCTGCACAATCTCTGGCCACAGCTCTGTTGGAAGACCTGAGGAGTTCTGCAGGACCCTTGCCCTTGCAAGAAGCACTCCTCCGTTGCGTTCTGCGGTTCCGTTCTGTTGAGGGGCGTATGAGGCTGATCTTTCCAGCAGGATTCCTCGACCTTCGCACCACTCCTCCATCTGCGTGCGTAGAGCGGTGTCAACATCAACCCTGATGACCTTGAGCACTGCCTTATGTACCTGAAAAACAGTTCCCAAAGGTGCGATCCACCACCCTCAGCGCTGCAAGACGCAAACTACGTGTGGAAAGACGACTACCAGATAATGTTGGAAAACTCTCGAAGGAAGTTGACATAGCACTACCCGGCAAGCACACTCGAGAACTGTACGACAACCTTTCCTGGATGGATGCTAGCATGCTGGCCCAGCTCAGGACAGGCATGGCGAGACTGAACGCTTCACTGTTCCGAATTAGGGCAGTACCTTCAGCCCAATGCGCATGCGGACGAGCGAGAGAGACGGTGGAGCACTTTCTCCTCCGATGCACACGATGGGCAACACAACGCGCCGAGACACTCATGCGCCCTGGCACACAAAGAGACAACATCTCCTTCCAATTGGGAGGTAAGACGACATCAGATGCTGATGATTGGAAGCCGGAAATGAAAGCATTCCGAGCTACGATTCGCTTTGCGAAGGCCACGGGCCGACTGGAGAACGTGTGATCCCTTGCGGGGGCCCAACACACCGAAATCCCCCTTCTTCTACTAACCGAACTTAACACCCACACCTCGTGTCAATAACAGTAAGAGCCGCTTCAGTCGCCGTAGATAGGACTCTGAACACTTGAAGAATAGCCTTCAAGCAGCTTGCCAATACAATCTAAACCCCACGAGAAACCGGCGGCAAGACAGAAGACGAGAAAGCAAGTGCGGAAAGATGACCTATTATGGGCTTGGGAGATTTGGACAGATTAGAGGAAGCGACCGTGTACAATAGCAAACAGTGCCTTATTGGCTCTAGGTCACCAGGCGTAATAAACGTGTGTGTGTGTGTGTGTAGATGAAGTTGGTAGGATGGCTTGATGGCGTTCTGCACACTAGGAATGTCATCACACAGCCTAGTTATGACGAAAGCAATGGATCTAATACCGGCCGCCCTTGTCTTGTATTTCGGACAAAATGCTCAACAGACTGATGATTCGTATCTGCTCTAGGAGAAGCAAGGACGTTGCGTGCTGGATTTTACATTTCGTTATCAAGTAAAATACGCCGGCAATGAAGGCATACGAGACTTCAGACCTTAATGTGTAAAGAAAATCCTTTCGTTAGTCTCCTTATTCTGACGACACCAGAGCCTTCCATCCCACGTGAAAACTGAGGAGACCAGATGAAAGCATAATAACCCTGGCGGCAGGAGGTGCCTCCCTTGAGGATCGCTTCGTACTTGCAGCCCTCTAGAAACCTTTTCTCGGCCTTGCTATGAGCCTCTTCGTCTAGAAGCATCACACCATTACCGTGCGCCCCATCTGAATGCCGTCGCCAGTCCGCAAAGTCGTCTACAATTGTCGTGTTCCCGGTCCGCTTACATTCCGGACATTCGAAGGACTTCTTCCATCTAGAGTCTTTCTCGTGAGTGCTGTAATGGATGTATAGTCCTTTTGATCTGAAATTTCGATCGCAAAAGAAACAATGAGCGATCCTAGTCGATCCAGATGGGAAGGGGGTTCCAGGTGACGACAAGTCAGATACCACATTTGGAGCGTCTCGTTCGTCGTGGTGAACATGGATATGGGCACTCCAATGCGAAATTCCTTCAATGATACTTGGAGGCCAACCCAGCCTTCAACATTCAGGGCATTCAAAAGGCCTTGCAAACGAGCCATCACGCACGTGAGCCTTCATGTGACGAGTAAGGTTCGGGCGGCGGGCATATGACCCGCAGCCTAAAAGACACCAGCATGTAGAGGCCGATGCCCTGAATCGCGGCGGGGGCTCAGTAGTTGATAGAAGACCTGAAGAATCGTCGAGTTTTGGCGTTTCAGTGTGTTGGAGAGCCTCGTTGGCCAAATGAACCACGTCGGCCGGAAGGTGGCGAAGGTATGCAACGAGTAAACTGGAATAAGTCTCCCATATAGTTGTAGCCAGAGTTTGCGCTTCTGAGAAGTGTTTGAAAACAGAGCTGATAGCCGTAGTACCTAGAATCGGGTAGGATTCTTCTTGAACAAACGTGATCTGGTCCTTCGGGTGGGGCCTTGTGTCGCTGCTTCCAAGGGCCTGTTGCCTGTCAACCTGGTCAAAGTACGTCTTGCGTTTCAACGCCTTTGATTGCTTCTCCAAAAAACGACGAATATAGGTAGCTCGGCTTTGTAACTATTCACGCCAGCCGAATGGTTGATCATGACCGTCGGTTGCTAAGCTAGTGCTGATCGTGCGCAGGTCTTGCCGCTGTTCAAACGCTGCCTTTTCCTCGTTCGTTAGAGTCATGGGAGCATGGCCGTCAACTCTCAGCGAGGCGTTACAAAGAAGTCGGAAAAGAGATTCGTCATCGCCAGCTAATAACCCAAGGGCGAAGTTCGGCAGCTGACCTCGAAGGTGATTAGGCAGATAGCTTTTTCCGAACACCTCAGACGAGTTTTCGAAGACGAAGTTACGCACAGCGGGGGTAAGCATACCTTGAAATTATCAGCTTTTGTCTCGTGTACTCTCGGAATCACGATTGGGCAGTCACTTGCCGTCTAACCGCCCAGCGCTGCCAATGCGCATGGCGTACGGGCGAGGCGGGTCGCGGCACCCTAGAGCCCAGGTGCAGAGGCTCCAAATCTCCCACATACGGTTATACGACATGTTGAAGATAAGATTTTGTTTTATACCTTGCTTCCAGTGAATTGGAAGGTACTTCAGTTCGCCAAGCGTTGGGCTAGGGAGAAGTGCGTTGAGAGACTCGAAGCCAACATCAAACGAATCATCCTTGATAGCCTTTGCACTTATCAGACTCAAGACACAGACGATGCAAATGTAACTGAGAACGATATCCTGATGTGGGATGATGAGGTGTTTGTGTGCATAAAAGCCTGGATTGGATAAATTTTAAATACGTACCGATCATCTTGGCTTCGTTTGAGAGCATTCACGTTAACTTTATTGTGTATTATCGTAATTGTGGCAACTAGCCGTTCCGAATTTCCGGTGGGATCCGCTACATTAGCTAGTTCTATTTGCTCGTATCGAATTTCTGTTAGAGCGCCGGGTCTGAATGCACCTATACTGGCAAGAAGGATCATGAAATGAAATGTCAGACGTTCTGTGGGTTTACAGGTCACCACCTCTGGCCTGGCCCATAGCACAGAAAGAATTGCAAGAGCATCTTCGCCAGTGACTTCTTGCTTGTGAAACATTTGGCCACGTGAAAGCCCAAGTTCGTTTGCAAGGTCTTCTCGAATCCACTGTGACCTTGCCCGCAGGCGCGTATTAGCGCTGGCTCTGAGGAAGAGATTAGGATCTCGTGTTCAGCGGGAGATGTTAAGTAGTAAAGATAGTCAGACCTTCGACACTTTCCACACAGAGCCGCTACCTTGCGAGGTATCAGTGAACTTAAGCGAGTAGGAAGAGGTCTTCTCGGGCTCCTCGCGTCGCTTGATTTGTAAGAAGCCACTGTCGAAGTCGCGTACCAAGGCTTTCCAGAGTTCGGTGACAGTGATTGCAGACTCAACTTCTCGGACCCATTCGTACTCCTCGGGGCCCAGAGATGGGCGCAGCTGCATCGAAGTTTTTACATGGTGTCGTAAGAAAGCCCTGAACTTGTCTTCTGCGGAGGGTCGGTTTGCACAGAGGTCCAGCACAATTGTCTCCGGATCAGATGCTGCGCTAGGTCCAACTTTACTGAGAACTATTTTGCAAAACCTTGTAAATCAATTCAAAAGTTAGCATGTCCTCAAATGAATAAGCCCCGATCCTCAAGGTCAAAGCAGTCCTACATGTTCCAGAGCCGGCGGGCATACTTCCTGTACGCCTCCGCCTTTCGGTGTACTTTACGAGAATCTTCGATAGGGTCAGAAGCACATCCTTCCAAGTATTGAAGGGTATCGTCATGGCTCTGTTCGACGAACTCGTCCAGCCAAACGCGGCCACCGGCAAATCGCCAAGGTTCCGCGGGTATTGAGATCGCTGACATCGTTCTGCAAGGTAAAAGGTTCAGCGCGTCCGGATGCCGCTAATAACGGAACAAAAGAGCGATTATTGGAAGGTCTAGGTGTATCGATGTGTGATGGTTATATTACGGCGAAGAAATGAAGATGAGAAGAGGGGGAAAGGGTGAGAGAAGTGACGGCGGCGACGGCTGCGCACTTCCCACCTCCCCAGACCCTGCCCATGCTGAGTACACAGGGGCATTCTCCAGACTTCAAAATCCCTGATTGAAAGATTCAAGTTGCAGTAGTCATTTTTCGAGATTCGGGGTCCTGGATGCGAGATGGGGGGGTTAAGTAGGCAAAGTCGCATACGAACGGGCTGGGACTAGGCGCCGTTAAAGTGGGGGCCTAAACGATTCGTTAACGGTAGGTGACCTGAATCTTAATATTGCCCCCCGAATAAAGCTTAGTTCTCGGGTCAACCATCGTGGTTCTTGGGTTGGTGGTTGCCATCCACAAAGCTGCGACGAGTAAACGGTTCGCCGGATAATTGAGGAGCCGTGCCGACCGTTCAGGGCAGTCCTTGACGGGGGCGGTTCAGATTTCAACCCCCTTTTGTTGCGGGGCGGAATGGCTAAGCCAATCATATCCAGTGAGTAAAGTGAGGCTTCATTGCCAGCCAGTCATATGTCTGATCAAGTAGACCCCCCTTTCCTTGAAAGGTGAGATCTATTTTGGGCAACTCGCATTCCAGCTTCCAGGCTGCCAGAACCGATCGGAGGTTTCCTGTTGTCCGATTTGACGAATCCTGGGAGAAACCGACTTTGATTGGGCCGCAAGCTAAACTGGTTAAGCCGGTCCTTTGTAGCGGTACATCATGGTATGTACCCGTCCAAGGTATTCATCCACTTTTGAGTAGCGGCGCGTGGTAGTACTGGCTGGTATAACTTACTTGCAGAGAGGTACTGACTACTTGATCGTTTCTGGACTCGTTCTTGTACTGATGAACCACATCCCAGCTAATTGAATACGGGTTTCTACGTTCTGTTTACTGGTAAGCCCCACCTTAATCATTGATTGAACCCGGCGTTGACTGGTCGAGCGCATCGTCCCACCTGACGACGGTTTTCGGCTTCTGCCATACCGATTCCTCATGAGCTCTTCATTAGTGTACTTTTCCCGCTTACGGCATTCAGAGCTTAAGAAAGTGTCGCAGGACCATCAGGTGTGGTCAAGGTTGAAGTACGTGGGCACGACCTTAGTCGTGCTCCACTTTACTTCGTCATTTGGTCCGTAGAGGCGGACTTTTTCGATAAGCATCTTATCGGGATTCACATAAGACGCGTCGTGGATCGCGTTCTGTACCTAGAATTAGACAAGTCAATCAACCACAGACGCCTCAACGAGGCTATTGGCTACTGCAATGTCAGCTATGCAATATCTTGTTTTGCTATGCGATACGCGACAGCGGCAAATACCGAAGGGATAGGGGGTGGCGAGTTCGACACCTTCCCTTAGCTTCCATCGTATCGTGCTCAAACGCAACTTTCTCCTTGCACGCCGGCATTAGCAAGTCTATATCGCGCTAGGCAAGTCGTTCTTTCTTGGCCGTACAGCTAACCGGAAGGGATTTCTACTCGAACAGTCGCCATGAATCCTGACCGCAAGCTGTTGCCTTCCAAAACAAGCCCCGTGGTAGACGCCAGTCCGCAATCGCAGGCTACGGAGGAATCATCTCCTCATTCTATCACACGGCCTAAGAGGCGTGGCCCTCTGACTATAGCCGCATGCTTTGAGTGTCGTCGCAAGCGAACCAAATGCGATGGTCGTCGACCTGTCTGCTCAAGATGCGCGGCCATTACTTCTCAACCTACAGCCACATGTGCGTATGGCATTGAGCCGAACGTTACTCGTAACGCCGCCATGAAGAAGCAAAACGCCGAGCTCTGCCAGCGTGTCTATCTTCTCGAGGAATTCTTTCATCTACTGACTCTGCGCTCAGACTACGAGTGCAAGGAAATCATTCATCGAATGCGGGAGGTAAACTTGGGCAATGCCCTCGATCACCAGTTCGAGTTCGTCAAGAGTGGTCATCTGCACACCGACCCGATCGCAGATCCCATCGACGACGGTCCCGAAGAGCCAACCCAGGAAGCGGCTGACAGCATTGTCCTGCCTGGAGCCTCGATCGATGAGGCGACTGTGCTTCTGAAAGATCTGTAAGCCGTTGTCGTGGATCCAGTTTGCCCATTCCGTTGTGGTTGACTAGCGCGCCGCAGTTTTGCTTCTATGGCACAGCTTGACCTATTTTCAAGAGCTTCGGTTCTATCTGAACTCAGATTCCGCACGTATGAGCTTGAAGCCGAAGACTGGCCTAACGATGTGTGCCTAAGCGCTGAGCAATTGGCCTTTGCGGGGATAGAACAGTCATCAACTTCAGAACATTTAGCCCAGTTGACTGCCAGCTGCGGTGGCGGCAACCCATGTTAAGGCCTGCCAACAACGGGACAGATGCTTGAAAGGTCACATCGAAAAAACTTTCAGCACGAACCACCGGCTCGAGGGGAATATTACTCAGTGCAAGGGGCCCAAATTGCGAAGATCTACAACGCACAAGATGTAAATTGGTACATAATCGCATTTGCCTCGTCGTCGAGGACAAGTTCGGACATGTCAAGACTGCTAAAGCTCCCGAGGACTTGAAGACCAATCAGCGCTTCAAGGTTGTTAGCCGCGATGTAGGAGGAGAGCTCCGCAATGAACCCCTGGCCGTGCGAGTCCCGCGGCAAACGACAAGAGACCGAGAGCCGATGTTGCCTAATCTTGGAGGGCATGATGTCCTTGCAAGCATGTGCCGATTTCCGAATTCGGCACAGACGTGGCTTCCATAACCACTGCCGGCAACTAAGAGAGTGATATGTGCGGGCTCTCGATCTCCCCAGCCGTAGCAGGGACTTCCTCGAACAGCTCGGATCACTCCCGTTGCGGCTGTGCGTCAGGCGAAGAACCCTCGTAACCGATCATAGCACCTCGTTTTTGACTGTAGAGATTGCGTAATCCATCGCTCTTATCATCTTCGTCGCCCGTTCGAGCGGAATACAGTAATACGAAATGCGAACTGGGTTGCTTGGGAAATATCGCGACGGCCTGTCAAATTTATCGAGGAAAGCCGAAGGGATGCGAGCTGTATAGAAATAGAGGCTTTGTGTATCTGTAGGAAGCGCTAGAAGATGAACCTTGCGTGCTCGCTTAGCTGGGGACTGATAAACACTGCTTGCAAATAGGCGCATACCTTTAGGCACGTCGCAGTCTCCTGGGACGTCTGAGTCGCCTCTGAAACGGACGGAGTAGGCGAGGGCGCAGTAGACGAGCCCGACATTGCAGCGACAGCTTCCTGCGCCATATTTGTGCCTGTATCTTGTCGGTGTCGCTGTCCTTGGGCTAGGGCGATCAAAACAGCCGCGATATATGGATCTTCCACTTCCTTTGGTGGTTGGAGACGGCATTGTTGCTTCTGTCGAAGACGAGTGATCGGAGGATTGATTCTATTGCAAGCTGAAATATTGATTGACTTGTTGCGACGCGATCTTACAGTCTCGAGGTCGAGATAGGCAAGGGTCGGGGTGGCTAGGCCAGAAGGGGGGTATGAGAAGACACCGCCGGTTTGGAGAGTAGCGACAATGTCCTGATCGAAACGGAGAGACAGATCTAACCTGGACGGTGAATCCATTAGCAGGGTTCATCATAAGACCATCGAAGGCACTTACTGGAAGCGGGAGATGCCGTGGCGTTCAAGGAGATGTCGAACCGCCGAAGTCTTAAACTCAGTCGTGCTCGCGTAACGCAAATCATCTGCTGTCGCACGAATAACTGCCTCCGTTGACAAGCTCGCGGCTTCGCTATGTTGCTGCCGGTTGCGTGTTGCCTTGTCATCGGTGTAGCAGCCTTGGTTGGCGTTGCCCGACCTACCTCGTCGTCGCCGACTTGATTCCTTCTGTTGTGGTCCGGCTTTCTCGAGAATGAATTGGCAGTCCAGAAGCTGCAGGTGTTGCGAAGTCCAGTGCAACAGCGGGACATATAAACGATCTCGGCTGTGTTTCCGCATAAGACCGTTGATCGATAATGGGTCAGCCGGTCGAGTAGTGGTGCGAGAAGACGACCACGACGACCCCAGGAACTTGGGCGTGGGCAGACAAGCACGCTTCGACCGAGGACTTGGAAGAGCATCTTCAGCCGTTCGCTTTGACTTGGTCCTTGGTTCTTGGAATTGTCGAACAGCAGACACCGCCATCTTCGGGGTTGACGCTTGGTTTGACGCCTGACGTGACTTGAATTCCTATTTGGCACGGGTGAGGCAGCAGCTCTGCCCAGTTGGCGGGATCCGCTGACAGCCGACACGCCGAGGATGAACCGCGACGCCCCACTTCGCCCGGCTGTTAGCCACAGCTCAAGCCAAGGCTTCACCCAGATCCTACCCTGCTGCTGCCTAATGTCGCCAGAACCGGAGCTGGTACATTGGTGGATTAATAAGATGATGCGCCAGATTGGCCACAGTTGTGTATTCAGGTTATGCAGGCTTTAGTCCAAGAAATGTAGGACATCACCGGACGCACTCACCCTCCGCCACCAGTGGGGTACGGACTACCACGTCCCTCAATTGATCAGTGCGGGGTGACCTGACGGACCCAATTGGATACACGTAATGGGATACGATTTAACCTGAGAACATCCCCTTTCCCTTCAAGGGACATCTGGTCCTCGATGTTTCAGCTCATTTAGTTGATCGCCTTTCCATCTTTTTGACCCAATATGGAATTCAAGGCATACTCAGCTCAAGCTCCTGAAGACCTTCGGACAACGTCGAAACAGCATGGAGACATACAAGTCATTTCACAACTCAATCACAAAGAATTAATCAGCTCTGCTAGCAGGTGGAAGTTTCGTCATTTAATTGCCTATCGACTCCTTGTTCGCCCAGAGGAGGCCTTTCTACCGATTCTTGAAACCGACCATGAAGAACGGTGCCCTGTATGCACAGAGGGCCAGTCCTGTTCCCAGAAAGTCGACAATATCAGGACCAAGGCTCTTACGGGGGAAAATCCACGCGACCTCTGTACGAAAACCGAAGGCGAGCTCATGAAGCTGCCAGATGGATTTTTCTGGGTTGCGCTTGCGCGGGCAGCTCGTCCTGAGCTCGCCGACCAGGCCAGAGTGTATCCTCAACGCGAGAGAAAGCAGGTGGAGCGGGAGGGCTACATCAGTTCCACCAGTGCGATTCCCGGATCCTCTTCACCAATTCTGCATTCTTCGTCCGAGTTCGAGGCTGATATGAATGATGTCGATGAGGATGAGCACGAAGGGCGACGGAACAAACCAGAGGAAGTTACGGTTCATCTTGTTTCTAGTTTCTTGCAGTATACGTTGAATCTTTGTCTCTCGCAGCACTCCGCTGGCCTGACAGACACGGAGGTGCGACCGCGAGTAGAGCGCAGGACGACAAATGCTCACATTGCGGGAGACGTCCACATCTCAGCCGAGGATGACGGGGGAATTTGCCAGATGCGTCGGCGTGGACTCGGATGGGAAATGCGTCACCCGTACTTGGCCTTACTTGAGGCAAAGAGGGCGTTCAAGCATATTCATTTTGACGAGAAAACAGGGAGCTATACCCCTGCTGTTTCAAACGAGAATCTAGCCCAGTATCTTGGCGAAGCAGTCATCACATGGAAGGAAAACCCGAAACTGCTGCAACACGGGTAAAGCCCCAGCCAGATCTTTCCTGACGACGCTAACATGGGCTCTCATTCATAGCGTCTTCCTCATCGCAGCAACAAATACTTTCGTGCGCTTCGTCCATTTCAGGTTCGGTCGCGATTATCTGGAGTATCTCGATGCCACGAATGAGAAGGCACAAACGGAAATCATTAATGATGAAGGGAAAGACGCATTCGTCTATATGCACTGCACAAGGTGGTTCAACCTACAGTCAAGCGAAGGGAGACAAATCGCTCTTTGCCATGTCCTAGCTTTATTAAGGTGGCACGACGCCCAAGATTCCTTGCTCCGCAAGGGTGACAGTGGTTCCACGGAGGAGGACAGTGACCAGAGTCAGGACTCTATCGGATCCGGAGAGGATCAGGAGCGTGACGATGATGATGATATGGATACAGAGGAGTAGTGAAAGCGCAGTGCTATAGCTTTGGAATAGAGGATACTCATGTGCTTAGTACTCACAGTCTGTGGGTGAGACGTAGGCAGTCAGTTCGCGGCTCGTATTGTGAAGGAAGATTCTTTAGGTCGAGGCACATGCAGTCAAGCCACACGATGTCCCGTTGGACTGGATGGGTCGAGAGCAGTGCTGCAGTGCCAGTAGACGGCTCGGGTATCGGGACGGTTGACGCCAGGCGTGTCTCCCCGGACTGCGTGATCTCGCAGGTCCTCATGTCTCTAAGCTGGCTGGCTACGCGGAGGAGGCGTCCAGGGCCAACGCTAGGGTTACCTAATCGATATTGTCCCTTGCCAGCATGATGTCCGCCACGTCGCGGGTGCCCCTGAGCTGCCCTGATCGTGGCGCCCTGGTGAAGGATTCAAGGGGAGGGAACGTTCAGAGTACGGCTTCCTCGACGGCTGGGTCGAGATGTGTAAAAGGGGGAAGGCGAGCGGTGGCGGTCGGAAGCTCGTTTGCGATCGGCGTTCCACAATCGAGACTTGGTCGACTGGGAGGTTAAATTCGGACGTCAAGACTGCGAGCGTGCAATAGGTTGAGCGCAGTATCTTATGTTTCAGTGATCATTTTGAGATATTTCTCGGATCTTAAAAAAGCACCATTGCTCGCAGTCAGGGTGGGATGGCTTGAGCCGGGGCGCAAGTCGCCCCACGGAGGACCTTCCTTCAGATATCGGTCGTATAAGGTGTCTCGCCAACCATCCACGTTGCGGACTTCAACGGGGTCGGTTTGGCGAGCCTTCGGGGACTTGCAGGCAGAATCGGGCATAGGGCCGCCGGGCCTCCGGTTCTGTTTACCCACCCTGCCCGAGAGGACGCGCAAGGTACAAGACAGACACCGGACCTGGCACTTTGCCCTATCTGGTAATGATTATTTAGGTATCTATCTGTCCACACGCTTGCTGAGCCACGCTACTATGAAATAATTAAGAAACGAAAACGATGGGAGGAAAAGAAAAAGAGAGTGCCTCTGCCAGCGAGAGTTCTATGCATCCGAGCCCTCCGTCGAGAACTGCATCAACAGAACCCGGCCAGAATCGCAGCCAATAGCGATAGTCGAACCAGTCACAGATGACGTAGATGGCCGATATTCTGGAGGGAGCCAAAGCATTCGCTGGTTGTTCTTCACAATCCATGTGCCGTTGTAACCTATGCCGTAGCCCGAGAAGGTAGGCTCTTCCTGAGTTGATGGTAGTGGGAGATCAGTACTACGGGATAAATCCAGAGCAAGGACCCCGATATCGGTGACGTAACGTTACTCCCCCACTTTCGGGTCACCCCCCCATTCGGGTCACCCCAAAACCCGACCCCTAAAATCAGACCCCTCCCTTCAACCCGAATTTTCAACCCGTTCCGATACAACGATAATACAGTCCTCTAGATTACTAGGTAATTCAGGGTCGCTAATTTTACCGATACTATCTTCCCTATCACTAGCCTTAACCTGGGCCCTATAGATAGCTTTAATGTCGGAAAACTTCGAATTTAGGCTAATTCGGACCTTCTTCTTCTTCCTAGGCCTAGCCTATTCTAACTACTATTCTAGAGCCTAAATCCTGCGTTCCTAGGTAGCTAGTAGGTAGTCCTTTTCGTTAAAGGCTTTCTGAACCTTACGGAATAGTACCCGTTGCGTATTAGTAGGTCGATCTAGCTGGTTGAATTAGGCTAGTTGGACCTATAGATCAACCGTCTTCCTAGGGGTCGACCATATAACTATAGATGTAGCTACATCATGCCGCTCGATAGGCCTAGATCTAAGGGCCCTATCGAGGATAGGGTCGACCCTATTAGTAGCGTTAGTAGAATTCTTAAGTAGGAGACGGTTAATAAGTAGCCTATCTATCTATACTAGCTAAAGACCTATTGATTTCTACCCCTGGCGTATGTTCTTAGCTATAAAAGCTAACTAGCGTGCCTTCCTATAGTAGGTAAGGAAATTCCTTTTACCTACTACTATAGAATCATTCTACTACTCTAGGTATCCTAGCTCTTTCCTATAGGCGTCTTTTAGAGGCCTGAAAACCGACTAGTCGAGAGGTTATAGGACGTATGAGGTATAGGGAGGTAGGAAAACTAGGTAGATATTATTAGTATAGTAGAGATATATGAATTCTGTTATCTTATGGCTACCGTAGCCGTCTAGGATAAGTAGCCTAGCTGTTAAGGGGTCGGTTAGTTAGGTAGATAGGATAAATATCTCCCTAAGCTAGAAGATAGCCGTATCGTTATCGGTCTATCCGTTTTCGGTTATAGTAAACTTCTAGCTACTATAGGGCTATAGGTCTAGTGGAAACTACTGCTATTAGACTAATTTGCCTTTAAAAATGACTAAGGGAGGTACTATAGTGCCTGTTACGCTGATATACTCAAGGATAGACGTCTAGGCCCTAGATCTAGGCTGTTTTTTTCGTAGATTCTAGCCTTCTGTAGAGCCTAGGACTAGGCTATTAGATCTACGGCCTTCTAGGATACTAGTCTCATCTATATTATATCGGTTAGCTGGTCGAATAGCCTTAATCTCTGGAATAGATAGATATCGGAACTAGTTCCTGATTACGTTAGTTGTTACGCCGTTAATACGCTGGGAATTAATAGGCCTAGCCTTTTAGACCTTTATCGATAGGTTTCTACGAGTAAAGGCCTGGAACTAGTTCTTTCCGATGGTCTAGGGGCCCCCTTGTAGGCGTAGGATTCGTTCTGTAAATTCCCTGACTTGTGAATGAGTTAGTGGAAGCCCTAGGGTAGCCTGGATCCGTATCTATTTAACTAGGTGCTTTTCCTGGGTCGGGGATAGCTTCTGCTGGCTTGCGAAGGCTGTAGCTCTTGGTTGTTGTCCTTGGATCTGACTTTGAAGGGTGGTATTCGGGATACCCTATTGTATAGAAGCCTTCCGGATTAATTAGCCGTTTGTAATAGCCTCTAGGGCCTAGTTTATTTCGTCTTTAATATATCGAGGCATTAGTAACTAAAGTAGTAGTATCCTGAATTCAGAAGGAATCGTAGTAGAATTAGTGAAGATACATTAAGTTGAAGTGAGGGGGTTGACGCGGGGGTGAGGGATTTTGGGGTGACCCGAATGGGGGGGTGACCCGAAAGTGGGGGAGCAACGTTACCAATTAGTTTTGCCCGGCGGACGAACATCGCTGCGGAGTGCAACACCGAGGAGCCAGGTTGGTTACCGTCTCGCTGCCGTCCAGGAAGCTGTGGTTATTGACTGGCCGCTAACAGGTGTGTCCCCTCTATCAAGCAAGTTCTGGAGTACGACGTCGCGTCGCGTCAGCGTGATCTTGTAATCCAGTTGGTCGCAGTGAGCCGGACGCCAGTGGACGGACGACTTAACTATCCCTGCTCACACTTCTATGCTCGCTTACACCATCCGCGGGCATGGATCGCAGGATGGCCCTTGCTGTCACAATAGCTGTAGTAGGCAGCTTGCCAGGGCTCCCAAGGCTGACACATGCACAGCCAGCCACCATGCATCCCATTCGCCAGACCCCGCCGAATGACCTGTGCCGCAGGAGAGCCCTGGCGAACTCTGGCGGAGCATATCGCAAGGAGACCCATCTTTCGCGTCGCCACTGCAGCCTTGATTACAACGGTGGGGGCGGTGCGCCGGCTGTGCCTCACCGAGGCAACTTCCTGGCGTTGCGAGAGCACGAACGTCTATGCTCAACACCGGCCTCGTCATCCTTCTCTGCCTATGCATCCAGCCTTCCGCGAAGATACACCCTTCAACACATCTCTTTGTTCGTCAAGCATACCAGGGCTCCGAAGATGGACGCCGCCGAATCTCTTCGGCCCAACAGGTAAGGTAAGTATGCCGACCGAGACTGTAGGTCTGGTCTCCTAACGTCCATCCTAGCGACGACCTCTGGAACGCCGCCGTCGGCGAGCTGGAGACCGAACTCAAGCTTCAGATCGATACGACGCAAGAGAACAAGGTGAAGGCGCTTGACCACCTCTTGGCAGCCACGGAGGACGCCAAACAGCGGATGCGCGGCAAATGTTGGTCCTTCAAACGTGACAAAGGAGGTGAGACGGTAATCGTACGAGACGTTCTCGCAAAGGTCGTGAAGTGGGTCAACCATTTCAAAGACGTCGGCGACGTTATAGTGCAATATGACCCAGTGCATGCCGCGCTGCCCTGGGCCGGTCTACGGTTTCTGCTCAAGGTGTGCGATCCTTCCGTCTAGTCGATGTAGCCATGCTGACCCCAATAGATGGCTGTTGGCGACTTGGACACATACCATGAGCTGCTCGAGAGGGTCCCCGACATTGCAGAAACCATATGTCGGAACGCTGTTCTCCAAGGTTTGTTAGCGGACCTTCCGTTGCCCGCGCGGAAAGAGCTGCGACATGCTCTCATCAAGCTGTACGTATGTATCCTGGAGTACCTTGCAAAAGCACGGTTATACTACAACCGGGGAACACTTGGTAAGCTCACCAGTCCCGGCCATTGTGCAGTGCTGACTTGTCAGGCCGAATTCTCAAGCACGGCGCCCTAGCATCTGACGACTTCATGACGGCCTTTGCGGCACTCGGCGAAGCCCAGAAAGCAGTCGATCGTTGTGCCCACATGTCTACTCTGCAAAGTAAGTCGAGGCATGGATCAGACTGATCTTTGAGCTTACGTATGAAAGCCCAGTTGGAAGTAGGAGCCGATCTGAAAAGCGTGTTGGCGAAATTCGATGCTCCTCTTGTCCGCTGGAATGACGCATTGAGTGCCATCACCGATCAACTTGACCGTAAGTCTCCCTGCTTGCCATGCGACCTACTCCTGCTAATTAGCTTAGTGACAAGAAGAAGTAAGATCCTGCAATGGATATCGGATGAGCCTTACATGCTGCATCACAACCAAACAAGGGATGAAGTTCTAGAGGGGACCGGCAAATGGCTGCTTCAAGACCAAACCTTCCTACGATGGAAGAAGGAGAGTGCTTCGTGCATCCTATGGCTTCACGGTATCCCAGGCTCCGGCAAGAGCAAGTTGACGTACGCAAGAGCCAACGAGCCAAGACTTCACCTTTTGTTAACACACATCACAGGTCCATCGTCGTCGATGATGCCATGGAAGCATTCCGAAACAACCAGGCTCCAGCTCCGATATACTTCTACTGCTCACGTAATCCAGCTGAGCCTAGACGCTCTGACCCTGCCAGCATTCTGGCCAGCCTCGCAAGACAGCTTTCGACTACGGAACCGCAAGGCTCGGAACAGCTAGGGCCGCTCCTTGAAGAAACGGCCAGCCTGTATCAGAAAAAGGAAGCAGAAGCCTTTGCGTCGAAATGTCCGAATTTTCGTGAGAGTACAGACCTCATCAGGAAGTTGCTCGAACATTTTAAGGATGCGACCATGACGATTGTACTTGATGCTCTTGACGAGTGCAACCAAGCAAGTAGGAGGCAGCTCTTAGTGTGGCTGGGAGACCTTCTCGAAGCGTCACCATGTCTCCTTAAAGTTTTCGTGTCAAGTCGGGACGACCACGATATCGTCCTCAAACTAGACAGCTACCCCAACCTCGAACTTTCTTCCGATCGCAACGCGGCGGACATCAGACTTTTCGTGGAACAGGAGACTCATCGTCTTGTAAACGATGGATCCCTGTTGTACGGTAGCACCAAAAAGGATGAACTACGCGACAAAATCATATGCGAGCTTACATCTCGTGCACACGGCATGTAAGAAGCATTTCCCCGTTCAAGCCATCACATATATCTTACTCCTTCTAGGTTTCGTTGGGCAAGCTTGCAGCTAGCATCGCTGCAAGAACTGACCACTGACGCTGCTATCCATGAAAGACTAGGTCGCTTACCGAACACATTAGCCAAGCTATATGCCGAAATTTTCTCCCGAATTGAGAGATACGAAGCAGGGTCAGACAGACGCATAACACAGAATGTTCTCAGCTGGCTACTGTGTGGCCAGAAGCAACTGCCATCATCCGCTTTCCTTTCCGCTGTTGTCAGCACAGCAGAAAGTACATTGTCCCCCATTTCGCACGAACAGCTCTTACGCCTGTGTTGCAACCTTGTTATCTACGACTCCAAACTTGACGTCTTCCGGTTCTCCCATTTGTCTGTCCGAGAGTTATTTGAGACGCGACAAATAGGCCGGCCAGCATCAGTGAATGCACTTGTGGCAGAAGCCTGTCTCGGCGCGATCGCAAACGCATCAAAGGGGCTTGTGTCGCATGAAATGCTGGTCGCATATTCCAATGTGCATTGGTTACAGCATGCCCAGGACGCCGCTGAGCTCAGAAAATCGAGTTTGCGAGAGTGCCTTCGGCAAATTTTGTGCTACGATCGCCGACAGTTCGAATACTGGAGGGAATGTCTTAATCGAATAAAACGTCGGCAACGCAGTACGAAGTGGGTCAAGCTCCAATACTGCCAGGCATCCACGTCGCCTTTAGTGCCCGTCTGTGTGTACGATTTGGCTGGGATTGTTACTGAGGAGGAATGGGAGAAAGAAAACCAGGGCGGGGACATCTCCAGAACGATGCTGATTGCTGCTCGGTTTGGCAGTCACGACATGCTGGAGTGGCAACTACAGAGGGAGCCGTACTTCGCTACGACTACTGATGTCGTCACGGCAGCAGCCACCAGTACGAAGATGACGATGAGATTGCTTCTCGAGAAGCGCGGATCCGAGATTCAGATCACCGAAGACATCGTCAAGAAAGCAGCTTCGAATAAGCATAATAGCCAGGAGATGATGGCATTGCTTCTCGAGAAACGCGGATCCGAGATTAAGATCACCGAAGACATCCTGAAGAAAGCAGCTTCAAACG